CATAGGAGGAGTATGTGTTGAAGAGGTGGAAGAATTCGATCCAGAAGAATTAATTAAGAATGGAAGATATAAGTTGGAAAGGTGGAAAGAACTGCTGTGTGCCGGTATCGTGCGAAATATCTGAGATAGCCCCGCCCCGCCCCGCCCCGACCCGACCAATGACAGCTCGTCTTGTGCACAGAAATAGAATAGACTACTTCTATTCTATTTCTGTGGTCTTGTGTTACGATAAGTTGTGCACACTAAATACCAAGTTCTGGTACAGGGTAGCGAGGGAGCAGTGTAGGGAGGGGGATGGGGATGAAAGAGGAAGTTTAGAGTAGTACTAGTAGGTGGAGTAGGGAGAAGCTAGTGAAGAATGAGGAAGAGGAGAAGCTGGTGGAAAAGATGGAGGGGAGAAGCTGGTGGACAGGGAGGAGGGGGAGAAGCTGGTGAAGAAGGAGGAGGGGTGGAAAAAGAGGGGGAGAAGCTGGTGGAGGAGGAGGAAGGGGAGAAGCTGGTGGAGGAGGAGGGGAAGAAGGGAGAAGCTGGTGGAGAAGGAAGAGGGGAGAAGCAGGTGGAGAAGGAGGAGGGGGAGAAGCTGGTGGAGAAGGAGGGGAGAAGGGAGAAGCTGGTGGAGAAGGAGGAGGGGGAGAAGCTGGTGGAGAAGGAGGAGGGGAGAAGCCACCAAGTGGAAATCGTCATATTTGAGCATATATGCGAAGTGCGCATGCGCATACGCATCCTATATCATATATTTCCCAGGTCGCTATATCATATATCATATGTTTCGCAGGTCAGAAATTTCGCACACAAAGACGAGCTGTGATTAGTCGGGTTGGGACGCACGCGAAGTGCGCGTGCGCATAGGCGCGGGGGGCGGGGCTATCTCAGATATTTCGCAAGTCAGAAATTTCGCGCTACACCGGGCCTCGAATTTAGCGCACGTCTCCACTGCGGACAGCGCTTCATACTTGAACATCCCCGCGGTCGCGTGCGCATATCCCGCGGAACTGCGCGTCTCATCCGCGCGCAGCGCTCAGGATCAACAGCAAAGCTGTGCCACGCAATCTTGTATCTTGTCTCTCTGGATTAGAATCTAAGTTTGTACTCCACGCGTTCGTTCATTGCTACCGTGCATCACGCACAGTCACACGCACGCACGCACGCACGCACCTTGTAAGAACCAGCGCATCCAATAATAGATAGAAGCCATTATTATTCACTCCTGTCATACAACGCTACGACCAAGCCTACATTTAGCGGCGTAACAGAATAAAAAGACGTGAGGAACTTGATAATCGTTTGCGGTACAACGAACTCTACAGCAGCTATATACCTACGTGGCCCGAGTGCCGTAACAGTGAACGAAGATACAGCTGGGAGAGCGAAGGAAGAGCAAGCATACGGAATAGGAGAAAAGAGATACGATTGTATTGATTTGTAGCGCACTGCAAGGAGTGCGACGGTCAGAATATAGTGCTGGCACTGTGCTAAAATAACAATACGTTTGCACATGTGGGAAATACGGCTTGTCGGAGTGGGCTGGAGGCAGACATATGGATGGATGGTGAGCCAGACTTGGAGCTGGTCACTAAAAAATCGCAATGGACATGATTAAACATTAAACATGCTAATAGCACAATGAAAAAACAGCAACAATCATCAGCAGCAAATTACATCTAACTGCGGAGATGAAATCAGTCATTACTGTTTACATTGCAGCGACCCAGTGAAATACCACCAAAAACGTCGCACGGGTTAACGCACTATAGCCTTTATATATATGCACTATATAGCCTTTCTATATAGCACTATAGCACTATAACTGGCGACTTGCCAGTGCACTGACGTCGCGGTTGTGTAAATCGATTCATGTTTACCTGCTGCTATACACGTGCGCACGCAGACAAGCGCATGTGATATTTAAAGCCCGGCGCACACGTGGCGATTTTTATCGACAGTACCGGCAATTTTTATCGACAGCACTGTCTATAAAAATCGCCACGTGTGCGCCACCCGGCGACAATGCAACCATCTGTCAGCGACATACCACTGTATGAACTGTACGTGACCTGTTCAAACCACACCACGGGCGCTGCCATAATTTTGATCACGTGCTTCAAATCATGCATTTGATTGGTTAATCCAAAAACTGTTGCCTGAATCCGGCGCCTGGTCAGCGCACACGTAGCGATTGTTCAGCGACTGGGCAACAAATATCATACGTGTTTGATATTCCAGCAACGAGTTTCTGGCGTCAAAATCGGTAACACCCACACGTGGCGATTTCTCGGCCCCGGTACTGTCAATAAAAATCGCCACGTGTGCGCTGGGCTTAAGGTTCTTCGCGAACGCTTTTGTCGCGACGCGGTTAAAAATAAACCGGTCACTGTACGAGTTGCGGAATGTTAAGGTTTAAAGCCGCTGCGCAGAAGCATAGAGCAGAATCTGTGACAGAGACGATATAATAGATAAAAGAGAATATAATAGCGCAAAAAAATAAATATAACGATACGTTTTGCACATGTGAGAAATAAAGCTGCGAGGGACGGAGTGTGTTGGAGGCAGACATGGTGGGTGATGAGTCCGATTGTCACACTGGTTCTGCTGCAGAAAGCCTGAATGCTGTGTCATGATTAGTCGCGGAAATGGTGACAGCCAGGAACACGATTAAACGTGAAATGAGTAGACAAGAGCAGCTTGCGATACAAACGAATGTGTGCTCGAATCAGGCAGCTAATCACACGTGATTAACGTGCAATGTGTTGATTGACGGTAGAACGTATTGTGCAGTGAGAATTAAGGGTCATTGGCAAGATTTTGCTTGAAACTTTCATCATTTAGTTAGATTTAATCAGAAAACAGTTTTATGATTAGCACCAAGGTGCGGGCCACTCCACAATTAGACATGCCACGTATGCTACATTAGCATTATACAGCAAAATTAAAGTATTTATTTCGAACATAATTTCCAACCAGTCTCGTGTTTCCCCCACTTTTATGACACTTGTTATTGCTTGAAATTGAGAAACAGCTATCTAACAACTAGAAACAACTGTCTAAAATTTCGATAAAATGTCTTAGAACCTTTGTCACTTGGCTATATTCTCCAAAACATGCACAATTTGAATTTTGATTACTCAATTAATTTTGTTTACCGCCACCATTTCTTGCAAATATCAGACTATTTCGCGATAGCGAGATATATCAGCCAGTTTAAATTTGGTTTTTGTTTGAATTAGGTGCACTATGGGTGCCCTTGTAACTTGTTGGTGCACTAAGGTGCCATTTGCAAATTAATTGTCACTATAATCAAATATGCCATGGTGTTACGATGTATTCAAATCCAATTTTCTATGCTATAACAGCAAAAAATTCTTAGTGTTTTGCAAGTTGGTGTAATCAGTAATATATCAGCTGTGAGGTGAGACTATATTTTGCTATATTTTTTTCATATTGTGCCTTTTTTAGCAAGGATTTCGAATTAAATCCTTTAAACATACCACAACCACTTCGCATGGTGTTCATTGGTGCAACGAATCTCCACTCATCTTTATCAGGGTTGTAACATTCTGTTGATCGGAGCCTGTCTTTACCATCATATCCACCCACTGCATACAGCAGCCTGCAGTAAATGTAATGTTACTATCACATCAAGCAAATACATAGATAATTATGGATAGGGTATGCAATTATCCAAGATATAGCCTTCAAACTCAATGAGTAGTCATGGGACATCATTAGCTAACATACCTTTTATAAATTATACCTGACTGATCATGAGGTCTTTAAACCTATCATTAAATATTTAACTGCACACTAGGTCTGCCTTAATAATTTCTCACGCAATCGAAACATGTATTGATTGAATATATTTGAGGTGCATGTGTGAACTACTGATGTTTTTTTAAATACTTAAAAACACAAGTTCACTGGAAAATATGGTTCCAGAAATTATATCATTAAATACAATATCCAATGTATTGATAAACACAACGTTTGAGGAAGCTACTGGTGAATCAGTGACTTCAGAACAACAGGGCTTGAATATCACCATGCCACTGATTCCATGGTTGCCCCTCTCCTTACTTGCTGTGGTGCCCCCAAAAATTAGGTCAACATCTACGTAAATAAACTCAAATAGTTTCACTACCTGATTTTCCCTGTACCTTTTCCATAGATTCCATGTATGTCCCCTACTTATATCATATAACAAATGTACAGGGCCTGATAACACTAAGAAATGCTTGCCTTGGTATCATAAAACTTTGACCCCTGCCTTTCACAAATAAAAAACGTTAACCCCTGCAACATACCTGTTGACGACAGTGACACCTACGCCAATACGCTTTATTGCCATTGGAGCGACCATTGTCCACGTTTCCTCTATCGGATTGTACCTGATTTGATATTTAAAAGCGTTGTAAAATATTAATAAACAGGATTGCTAACAAATGTACGAGTGAGACCAAAGTAAGCGTGAGGGATTAAAAGCAAGTGGTTAATCATTATGCGAGCAATTTGCCTGCAATATCAATACAGTGATCTGCTGTCAGGTCTGCTGTAGTAATATTTTATTGAAGGGCAATAGATTTCATTCAATGACCAGAAGATCTTTAAAATGTACATAAAAAGCTTAAAAGGTAACCTATTGCAATACTGAGGAACACTGAAATTATGACTGCAATAAATTGATAAAACCAGTGGCTCAGGTTCACAACAAAAACATGCACAGTGAAAAACATTACATTTAAACACATAAAGCAGGGAGTTAAGTTTCATAGTAACGTTAATTCTAGAAACAGAGATGAGTAGTTGTTTAGGCACTTGCTACATTACTGCTTGAGTAAACGTATTAGCACCAAGAATCAATGGTTTCCTTAATGAATAAACGATAAAAAACGGTGAATAATGAACGATGAATAATGCTTGCGGGCAACTTGCACTTTTTAAACCGCTTCATACAGGTTCGAAGGTAAATAATGTGCTCATGTGTAAAGGTAAATACTGTCCATTCATACAGGCCCTTGCATATACACAAGGTGGGTACAGCTTCCCCTTCCCCCGCACATGACCACTGTATTGCTCCACAATGTGAGGACAAGCAATAAACAGAGTGTTTCCGTGTTTTAGACACGGGTACATCGTAGGTGATCATCATGAGTCTGTACGAGATTTCCAACATCTATGGATGGAATCAAGAATGCTGCGTCATGATGTGTGGAACCCCCCCCCCCCAAACACACACAAACACGAGCCCTATCTATCCAGTGAAGAATAGTGCGTCATTCTGTGCGCCCCCCCCCCACTCACACACACGCGAGCCCTACCTTTCCACTGAAGAATGGTGTGGCATACTGACCGATCCCCTCCCCACCTACACACACACACACGAGAGCCCTATCTAATAGTATCAGGGGTAAGATAATATAGGATATCTAGGATCCTATATTATCTTACTCCTGATAGTATCTATCCACCGTGGAATGGTGCGTCATGCTGTGCGCCCGCCCCCTACACGTACGCTTGCACGCACGCACGCACGCACGCACGCACGCACACACACACACACAAGACCCTACCTTTCCACCGACGAATGGTGTGGAATACTGTGTGCCCCCCCACCTACACACACGCACGCACACGCACACGCACACACACACACGCACGCACACGCACACACACACGCACGCAAGCCCCATCTATCCACCAAGGAATGGAGCGTCATGCTGTGCGCCCCCCCCCTCCTACACACACACACACACAATCCCTACCTTTCCACCGCCAAATGGTGTGGCATACTGTGTGACCCCCCCCCCTCCCACCCCACCCCACCTACACGCACGCACGCACGCACGCACGCACGCACACACACACCTTTCCACTGCCTAACCTTCACACCTTTCTGCTTCCACGACCCCTACCTTTCCACTGACGAATGGTGCGACGAGCCGTGCGAGCCGCCGACGACGTACAGCAGATTGTCGAGCACGCCAACGCCGACGCGATTGCGCGCCACGGACATCGGCGGGCACTCGCGCCACACGTTGTTCAGCCAATCGAAGCAGTCGACGCGCGGCGAGTCCGTGTTGCCGTCCGGCGAGTTATTCCGGCCGCCGACGGCGAAGATGAGGCCCTCGGCGATGGCCATGCCGAGTCCGCTGCGCGGCAGCGGCAGGTCAGCGAGCTGGAACCACTGGTTGAACTGCGGGTGGTAGCACTCCATGTTGCTGAGCGACTGTCGCAGGTAGCCGCCCGTCGTGTAGATGACCATCGCTCCCTGCGGGTAGCGCTTCTGGTCCGGGCACGGCTTGTGCTGCTCGAGGTCGCTGAGTATGCGGCACAGGTAGTCCTTGCACTGCGGGTTGATGCGCAGGAAGCGGCAGTAGTCGATCTGGTCGCGGATGAACTTTGGCGTGAGGAAGTGGCAGCGCACGGCGCAGAGCAGGTGCTCGAGTCGATGTAGCCGCACCTACACGTATACGTATACACGCAGATTCGCTACACATATATGTATATATATGTATAAATACATATATGTATATATATATATATATAAAATGCAAAATAATTTGTCATATATTATATACACATATATAAACACATATGTATAATATGTATATATATATATATATATATGGCTACGAGAAACACTGCATCATAACGGGTCGTTGTAATCGTAATCTCAGCTAAACGCCAAGCGAACGTGATGAATAGCGATCGCGCGCACCTTCTCGTCAAAGTGCACCCACGTGCGCACGGCCGTGTACACCTGACTCTCGCACTTCACGTTCAGCTCGTCACGCTTGATGAGGGCCATCAGCTCGCAGGGGCCGAGATGCATGAACTCCTCCTGTTTCGCAACCTGCGATGACAATTAGGGGGGTTAGCAAGGTAAACAATACACGGGAGCGATGAGCGATTCAACCTCCGAAATCGCTCCCGTGAGGCTCAAAATAACTCCCGTAAAAATTTTGACGAGAGTTATTTTTCCCACAGACTTGAAAAAGAGCTCCCGTGAAAAAAAATCAATTTTTTCCCTGGGGGTTAGTATTCGTGAAGCAGCCAGCAATGACGATCAGAGGGAGGGGGGAGGGTTAGTATTTGGGACGCAGCCAGCAACGGTGATCAGAGGGGGGAGGGTTAGTAATTGTGAAGCAGCCAGCAATGATGATCAGAGGGGGGAGGGTTAGTAATTGTGAAGCAGCCAGCAATGATGATCAGAGGGGGGAGGGTTAGTAATTGTGAAGCAGCCA